ATATATTTATACATTGTGTATATATTTATGTGGTTACTTAAAGAGAGAAGTATATTGCACAAATGATTCCAAACAATGAGAGTATTATTTAGACATTTATTGCTGCTATAGTTACACATACACGTATCCTATTTCACTTTTTATCATGTCATAAAAAAGCAATGGGAGACAATATGAAATGCACCCCGGGATAGTGCATCCCACGAGGCCTCTGTGACCAGTACATGGCTACTTTAATGGGTATTCATTGTTGTTTACTCCTCATCATAAAAGCATTTTCTGTCACATATCCTGATAAAAATAACTGCCAACCACACACATGTAATGTAGCGTACATGAACATCAGCAATGGGAAAATTCGCTTTGGCTGTTAAAAATAACGTCATGTCTTACTCATATTTGCGTCATGGTGTCCTTCAAATAAACATCTTCATGCATGATAAAAAGCACTTTCTCACAGGTCCTATGCCACTAGATAAATTCTTGGACTACCAAATAATACCAACGTTCGAGTGGTCACCACTCCATGAATATGGATCCCACAGGTAGGTAAATACCCATGGAACAACCTCTGAAGAAAAGCGACTTTGCTTCATATTCCGAACCTTTGTTTGCAACTCTCTCTGACTTTTGGGATTTGCTCTACACAAAACCAATGACTACTAAACAAAATAACAATGAGCACATTTTTAGATGTTAAGAAAGTACATGTAGCAAGCAAAGAAAAGCCAAGACTTGGATTTTGGTTTGCAATGATGATGGCTGCTGGAACAGAGATAGGGGGACAGTTTCAGGGAATGCGTTGCAAGTTGGTGTATAAGGAGTCACTTTTGGGGGAATTCCTCAGCTCTTTGGTACGAAACAGGACTGAGCTGAGGGCAACCGGGGTTTAAAATTGCTTCTGACATGAGCATGTTTGGAAACATTATAAAACACTGCGACCGAATTGGTGATTGAACGCCGCGCTTGTAGTCAAGTAGCTAAATTGTGTTGAAAGGTATACAAACTGGACAATTGAAATGAGACTGACATGATATCTGAGGAAACATTTTTTAGTTTGTTTTTCCTTTTTTGGTGTGTTATTTTTCCTTGCTAGTTTGGCAATACTCCCGCACCCCAATTGGCAGTGAGTACTCGTAAATTGACCTCAGAATACAATATTTGAAGGAGCAAACACACACTGGACCAGAGCATCACTGTAAACTGTGTGAGTTGTTAAACGTCTGATCAAATAGAACATGGTGTTACTGTGGAGACTCAAGTAGTAGATGACGTTCTTAACATGATACAATGTTCTGTCAACAACAGAAGACAAATGCCCCGACGGAGTCACTTTCCATCCAAAAAATTCATTTATCGCCTGCGTCCAACTGCTTTATCAGCTCTTTACCGCCCTGCCTTTGACAGATATGTTCCCACAACTGAACAGAGAATACGAGTTTAACAGCCGGGTTAAATCTCCTTTGCCCTTCCTGCTTATACATGTACTATTATAATATATACGTATACCGCACTGCCACAATAAGAAAACAGCAAACTCAGCATATGGTAATAATATTTTTAAAATTACTTTTTTCCTTTCAACCCCTCTCCGCCTTTTTCTTTCACCCCC